ACATGGCCGGTGGTCATGTATATCATCATCTTTCTATACAAAGGGACAAAGTTACCGGTCAACGATAATCCCAATTTATAACGTATCTCTTTTATATTCTAAGTTTTAGTAGGTGCCATCAGGCAGCAAAGCTTGGCCTAGGATAATGATATCGCAGCACACACCCATGTCATCCATTCTCTATTCTGGCATAATGCCAACCATGCATAGCAACAATAAAGTAACACCTGCCATGGCTATCGAATAAATGGGAGCAGCGAACATTTTCCCACATGGTCTTCCTCAACTTATAAGGGAGTTCTTTTCTTCATTGCGTATATTGACATATTGCTTGTATCTAAAATACTAAAATATATGCTCATATGTACTTTGTTATTATGGTAGATAAGTGCAAACCCATGAATCCAAGCTCATGGGAATTACTCGAGATAAACTATGGGGCTAGTGGCTTGGCAGGCATAGTTGGGTGAACGTTGCCTATCCGGCGAAGCAAGGCATTCGTGTAGACGAAGCTTGGCATTGGCGATGTTGCCCGATTTCGCCAGAAAATGTTGGGTGGCGAAGGTGTGGAAACAAACTTAACTCCCAGAACAGTACCCTTTGATACTAACCAGAGGTTGGAAATCCTGTTGAAGACCAACTAAAGATGCCGCTTGAGTCACCATCAGCAACTTGCGGTCATATTTAATGCAAAGGTGGTTGCACAAGTTTTATGGCCTTGGAAACTGCTATGGAAGATCACTATCTGCTTGCAAAATCTCCCAAAATCCCGAACAGAGCTTGGGGAACTTACCAAATCACTGTGCAGGTGGTGTTTTTGCTGGTTGCACTCAAGCATACCCCAAAAATGGAGTTTCGTATGGTTGGGAGAATTTCCAATGATGGCTAGTTTCCAATCCATTGTTAGAACCAGTGAAACTTCGCTGAAACCAATGTGCAACTCATGATGCTAATGCCAGAGCAACCGTCAATAGTGCTCGGAACCACTCTAAGCTTGACAACTCACCTGGACCCATCTGTACATTTCTGACATATTAAGTAGAATTACAGAACTACCCTTGACCATGTATATCATCCCTCCCTTGCCATTTAAAAAGGGACACACAAAATAACCTAGATTTTCTTCTCATGCACCAAATCCCCATTCTTCCTCCCTCATAACAATTACTCCACCTGCAATCCATTACCCTGCATGTTAAAAACTACCTAGAAACCATCGTTTCTCTGCATCTCTACTATTGCAGAATGACCTCTAGCTCGCATGATAATCTCCAATATCGTAGAATATTCCCAGATTTGTAGGATATCATGGCTGGGAAATAACAACTTATAGCTCCATCTCCCATGTAATTCTTCTTGAGTATCAGACAATCAAGCCGCATGGTTAGCATCAGAGAATGGGATTGAGAGTTCCACCCATAAGCGTCCCTAAGCAGACACCTTTCCTTCTCCCATCACTATTTTCGAGTTTATCTTTTTTGTTTTCTTTGTTCCTAAAGAAATTTCGGAAGAAGGGTCGTTACGCCCTTCGTGTTTAGAATGAGAATTGTGTGTTATAGGGTGAAATGGTTCACTAGAGATTATAGAGGTTTTATTTGGTGTCATTACTATTATGTCATGGTGTTCTATGTGTAAAAGCAACTTCAAAATTGTAATCTTTGAACCCTATATGTTCATCATCTTTGTCACCCTTCCAGCCATATATGCATATTCTTATTGTTGATTTTGGTAGTTGTGTAATCATTCTGAGTCTGCAAGAAGTCTGCTGTCGTTGTTCGGCTTCAATAGCTTGGCCAGGGGATTTATGTTCTGCAACTTCGCTGGGGAGCTAGCTGTGTGATATCATCGCTGGACAGAGCAGGATGGCCCGTAGCATGTAGCCATGTGCACGTGAGACGGGTGCCGTCGAAAGAACTCCTTCTCATCTCTGTGAGTGTCATCTTAGTCAGCCTCCACATCGTCACTGTTGCTGACTCATCAACCTATATCACCAGCACACCCTAACACTTTTGAAATACATTTTTATGAGTGGATTGTAAAGTAGAAACTGTGTGATGGGAGGAGGGCCCTTAATCTCAAGAGACTCTCCCCCATAAGACAATTAGTGTTTTATAGTTTGAAATAGTTTGTATTGTAAAACATTTTTTCGTATCTTATTTTGCCAAAAAAAAAAAAAACTTCTTTCGTTAATTTTTAATAATTTTAGTTTAATTTTTTATTTTTTAACATGAATTTCATATAAAAATTTAATACATTATATTAATGATAATTAAAAAAAATTTTAATTAAAGAAAAATACTCAACAAGAATTTCATATAGGAAAAATTTTTTTAATTATTCTTCATAAAATTGTTAAAATTTCATTTAAAATTTATATTTAAAAAGTTAAAAAATCAAATTAAAACTAATAAAAATGAACGAGGGGAGTATGTAAGTGAAATGAGCCTTCAAAATTACCTTTCTGCCAAGAAAAGAGAATAGCTCCACGGATGAAACTTCCCATCATTTTAATAGCTTGAATCCCCTAGGAAACATGAGCTTTCCATAGAAAACCTAATCCTATGTTGGGTTCCATGTATGAAAGAAAAATTGTGAAAGTTTTCATGCCTTACCAATTAGGCTTGTTGGTATGATTTATAGTAGAAGATTTGTATGAAGTTACCAAAATAAGGGTCAAATTTGAAGCTAACCGAAATTTAAGAATGCATTTTCACGTTCTTATGCACTTTTAATGTCTCATTACTACACATGATAATTCAAGTATTATTGATTTCATGTCATTACTTCACATGATAATACAAGTATTATTGATACATTTGCATAAGATAATATCTTTACTGGAAATAATTTAGAAAAACCTTTTGGTATAATTTTATTTGTATGTTTTGCTTGAACGGAATGGATGGGAGGGGAAAGAAAGATTTTTTGACTAATCGAATTATAATATTTTATAAATATTATAACTAATTGGTTAAACAACTTTCCTATCCCCTCCCTTCCATTTTTTTTTAATACAAACATACTATACATGTTACTTAACA